TTTTCGTGAAAGCAGTTTTATTTGAACCTCATTTTTTGTGTGTGTGATGGCCAATTGAAGAGAACAGTGTGCAACTATGAAATTTTGTTTCCTGCTTAGGAAAAATGCCACAGAAATTGTTGTGATGTTGAGCACAGCTTACAAGGACAGCACTATGGGAAAAATGCAAGTGTATGAATGGTTGTCTCATTTCAAAAAAGGTAAATGTCGATTGATGACAAACCTCATTCTGGATGTCCATCAACGGATGAAATGTCTACTTCCCTAACAGACAAAAAGTACACTCGTAGTGCATTTGGAGTTCATTTCACCAGGTCAGACCGTTCATCAAGTTTTCTATTTAGAGGTTCTGAAAAGATTGCATAACAGTGTGCATGCAACAAAAAAGGCCTGCTTTGTGGCAGACGGGAGACTAGTTTTGCCACCACGACAATACACCTGCTCACACATCCATCTCAATGTGCCAGTTTTTGGCAAAAAATAGCATGCCTCTCTTGTCCCACGCAACTTACTCACCCGACCTTGCTTCATGCAACGTCTTTTTGTTTATGTGAATGCAGAGGGACATGAAAGGACAGCGATTTGATGAGTTAGAAGAGATGAAGAAAAAAATGAGGAGGCGGTGTCAGACATCCAAACAGATGAGTTTGAAAAGGTTTCCAAGAATGGAATCACAGATTTGACAAATGTATTAAGTGTAAAGGAGAGTACTTTGAAAGTGATAAGGTTTTGTAAATAAATAAATACGTAACATTTAAAAAATTTTCCCTTTGAGGGGTACCCCCTCGTATGCTTTTTTTTTCCTTTCTAATTTCTAACTCCAGGTATTTTCACCTTGCGTTATAATATTTTACCATCTTCAGCTACTCTTTGAAATTTCTATTTATCCCTTTTATCATTTCATTTTAACAGTTTATTGTCATAATTCTCATCCCATACATTTCAATGATTGAAACATATTTCCAAAATCAGTTTTAGAACCTTTTCTTCATTCTTGTAATCATTATTCTTAGCTCCTCATTTCCCCCAGCCTTCCTAACCCTATAGAAACTGTGCTTATCGCCTTAACCCTACAAACCTATTAACCCAGTTACTGCCTCTATAAATACCTATCCTGGATTTCATATGTAGGAAAACATAAAACCACCTCCCCCAACAATATTTAGCCCCCCAAATTACACAAAGACTTCTATTTGATCATTTCTTCTATTTTCTTGAGCTTCTCTACAATCAGGAACAAGTTTCTGAGACCCTGCTATTTGCTTTGGTTTTTTCTTGCCTTTTTTTTTTTAACTGACTTTTTGTTTTATTTGTGCATGATGCCAGCCCATCAGGTCTTCTGTCATTAGTGTGCTATGTGTCAAATCTGTCTGGAGATGGTACTAGGACTTGTTTTCATTTTCTTCAACTTCAACCTGAACTTACACGTGAGCAATCTGCATTTGGACTCTGATCTCATTTTGGCTGGCTGCTAATATTACATTTTTACAGTCTGTTCCCGAAGATGTAGCGTCCATTTGAGTCCTGTGGATAACGTCTGGTCAAGTCAATGTGCACTCGCTCCACGCTCCACGCTCCCTGCTCTCCGGTTCATCCCCACTCACAGAACTGCCCCTTTGGGTTTCGGAGACTTTAAGCCTTTGTGGAAACAAGCAGCCTCATCCTTGTTCCTCAGAGCTGCTACTGGAGTCAGACTACTGACCTGTGCTCAGTGCCTGGCCTGTGACCTCAACAGTCACCCTTTCTGTTGTTAAAAAAAAAAAAAAAGGTATTTGAAATGGAGAAGTTGTTGGCCTCGCAATATCCTAGCGTAAGATCTCCAGCTTCATTTCTATCTCAAAGGCCACAGTTTCCAGCGACCGTCTCTTAACAATTTTTCATTCTACCAATGCATCGACTGCATGTTTAATCTATGTCAGGCTGAAGAAGTTGGTAGAATTCTTTACTTCTTCGTCATTAGCTTTAGTGGTTGGTGTGTGAATTCCTTGTTGGCGTATGTATATTATCCTACCACATTGTACGGAGAATGCAATACCAGGGAGCTCCCTGCTCCTGCTGTTCTGATGGGATCTGCACCACCTCCCACAGCGCCTGCCTCCACTCAGCCTTCTTCTTTTTTTTTAGTAAAAGACCATTTTATTGGGGGCTCTTAGAACTCTTATCACAATCCATACATCAATTGTATCAAGCATATCTGTACATATGTTGCCATCATTCTTTTCTAGACTTTCTATTTTCATTTACTTTCTATTGACCCCTTGCTATCAGCTCCTCTTTTTCCCTTGCTCCCCCCACCCCCACCCTAGCCTTCTTAAGCTTGTAACAGAGATGTGAGTTCACTAACTGCTGTCTAGCAAAGGCACACAAAGGATGACCGTGTGAATTCTCAACATTTGGGGGCTCGGGCAAAGAGAAAATCATCTCCCTGGTTCACGATGGGAGGCTTTGTGTGACATGTCTTTGACAGTGACTTTGAAAGACTGGATACGTCTACTCGATATGAACAAGTACTGATATTTAACCAGGCACATTTCCCAATCTCAACACCAATTTTTCTTTCCCTGCTTTTATCTCATTAATGTATGACATCTCTGATGCCCTGAAATCTAGAACTCTTCAAAGTAGTAATGCTTTAACATCATTGACTTTCACAAAATGCGTGCTTCTCCAAATATCAAACACTATCCATTTCGCCATAGCCTTAAGTGAGTCTTGTTTGAATTTCTGGTTGTTTCCAGATGTTATTGGACATCTAAGCATTAACTAAATCCCCCTACCCCCCTGCCAGATGTGTGACCCTTGTGAGACAACAGTCATCAACCTCAATAATTGTGATCCTGAGAGCAGAGAGGGAAAACCCTTTGTAAAAGTGACTGTGGGCGAGAGACTAGCTCATGATACACAAGTTATATTTTGTATGTTCCAGACAGTTCGAATATAGAAATATCGCATCATTTCCAATCACCTTTTCAGCAGAATGCATTAATCATTAAAAAGCACCTCATCATCTTCAATGCTGTCCAGACATACCAGCTAAAGAAGATCATACGCTTGGATTTCTGCTCTGAGATGGAACGAATCTCAGTAATTGCTCCACTTCAAAGAGAAAACACATCTTTTAATCATGCTGGAAACTGGTATGTTTGGTGAAGAAGAATCTTTCAAGAAAGCAGTCCATTAACACATGAATCAATGAAATAGAGAATTCAGGTAAAGCTGTACTTTCTGAAATAGACATTGATTCCAGGGGTGATTTCTTCCCATTTGGAATTCTGAAAATTGAAACTACTAAGCCACTCACTGCCATCTAGCTGACTGAAAGTCAGAATGATGCTATAGGACAGAGTAGAAGAGTTCCCCAGGATTTTCAAGACTGGGAGCAGACAGACAGCCCCATTTTTCTCCCACTAAGGAGCTGATGAACTGGAATTTCTGACCTTGAGATTAGTAACCCAACACCTAATCCACTGTTCCACCAGGGCTCCTACTAAGTCGACAAGGTGATTAATAAAATAATTTCATAAAGAAAAATCCCAGCCTTGATCTAGTCTTAGAATGCTAAGTACTTGAGAAATTAAAGCATAGATTTTGAGGGCTATGCCATTTGGGGGTCATTTATCATTTGTCAGGAGCCCTGGTAAAGGACTCAGCTGTTAACTGGAAGGTCAGTGGTTCCAACCCTGCTGAGTGCGAGAAAGCTGTGCCTGTGTGAATATGGGCAGCCATGGAAGCCCTGCGGTGCCGTTCGACTCTGCCCTGCGGGGTCATTAAGAGTTGCAATCAACTTGATGGAAGTGGGTCTTAAGAGAGTGTCCTTTTTACTGAATTAATAGTGTCCCATTGCTGTCATTATCATCACCATCATCATCAGTGCTAATATTTGAGGACCAAATATTTGTGCTTAATACATCCTTGTATTGTCTCATTTAATCTTTCCCAATGGTATGCGGGTTTGTGAAAAAGAGGAAGATGCTCCAGGAGACCTATTGGCACCGTGGCTACAATGAGGGGCTCAAACGCAGCAACACTTGTGAGGATGGCACAGGACCGAGCAGTGCTTCCTTCTGCTGTGTGCAGGGTCACTATGACTCAGTGGCACTGCACTCCAGCAACATACCTAATACCAGCCTCATAGCATAGACCAGCTACCTGAAGCTTGGAGTTAGTAGCTTGCCCAAGAACACATAGCTTACAAGAGAGGGAGCTGGGTTCAAGTCCAGACTGCTAGGCTTCAAAATTCTTATGCCGTGCCTCTCTTCCCTGGACCACTCATCCTGAGAAGCTGAGTTCACCCTAATAAACTACATGAGGCAACATAACTCTACACCTGTTTCCGTTTTCTGACATCCTAGGCATGCTTCTGAACCTTTTCTTATGCCCTCCAATGTGTAAATCTTGCACTTTTAGGAAACTCTCTCTGTCACTGGTTTGCATCCAGAGAAATGAAAATTCTAAATAAAGACTACAGATGGATTTGTACACCTTTAAGTGTGACCAATGCCATTTGCTGTCCTCATGTCCTCTACCTATTCCTAACCTGGTGTTCTTTTCCTTTCTGAAATAGCTGCTGCTGCTTCTTTCACAGAACAATGACTTCTCTTATTTTTTCCCTCTCGTGGTTTTTAGAATAATTCTGATAAATTCCATTATTAATCAGAAATTTAATTCACTTCTTAATTTAATCTAACTTGACTTTTTAAAACACGAATAGAAATAATTGCCTAAATTCCAGAAAAGAACCGTTTTTTCAGTGCAGTCCACACTCAACACAGTTGTTATCAATGTGCTCATTGTATGAGAGAATGTGGTAAGCAACTGATCATTTTCCTTCCTGCTGATTCTCCCTCTCGTCACTTTAATTGTACAACTCCTGCCCACTAATTTTATAAGGCAGGAATTCCCAATAAGAGATGCCTTTGCCACTCATTTCTTACCACAAAAATATGCATAGAATTGGTGTGCATAACACTGCTTCACCTCCTTAAAACATATGTACTTACAGTTTACTATCTTCTCTTTCCCCTTGATCATCAACGAGACAGGCTGCGCTGGAGTCGGCTCGGCGGCAGTGGGTTCAGAGTGAGTGAGCCCCTAGAAATTGGAAGAAAAACAAGATAAAAGGAACATAATCCTCTAATCAACCTCATGAACTACCTCTGAGAGGTTTCGTGAAAGAAAACAAGTTATCTTGTTTGAACTATTGTGTTTTGGGGTCTGTCACCTATAGCCTAAGTAATTTTTAATTTGTCACTAGAAATACAAAAGTGCTGTTAAAATAAAAATCTGAAATACAATGGGGCTTGAAAAATGTCACGGTAAAACAAAAAGATGGTGGAACTTTTCCAGGAATTTTTAGAGCTCCTGATTTATGTGGCCATGACTTGGTAGCAGGCAACTGAAAGAGAGGAAACAATGCAGGATAGAATACTAGAAATGCTTGTTATCCTTTGGCTACACTTTAGGCGACATGGCCAGTAGCAACAACATGGAAGGTGGACTTGTAGCAATGGGCAAAGTGGTTAGAAAGAGCAGTGATTATGGCACGCCAATTCTTGAGGCAATAGGGTGACCCCAATCTGGGCCTGATGCCCCCCCTCCCTAGAAGAAGGAGCTACAGAGGTCATCACTGAAGCTACAGACTGGGAAGAAGGGCCAGTCCATCCTGCCAACATGAGATCAAACTAAGACAGAGAGCGAGTGAGGGACTAGACCCGACTCTGGCACACCAAGTCCTGAGGATGACATCCATGCTTGGAGCAACTAAGGCACAGAGAGGACTGTAGGGCCAACAACAGCTTGAGACATGATGTAGCATAGCACTACAAGAGGACAATATTGGGGACACAGTACAAGGGGGAGCCTGAAAATAACTTCAGACTTGGACAGACAGTCCCTGGAGCCCTGCCAGACCAGTGGGGAGATCGTCAAAAAGGTCAGTGGACTGACCAGAAACTAGTATAGGGTCTTGGGGGAGGAGGT